GGAATGAAAAACTTAAATAAGCAAATTGGAACAACAAGGGAAAGCCTCACTGCTAGAATGAATGAAATGGAAAACAGAATATCAACACTGGAGGGTATGAAATTCTCAATAAATTATTAAAAAAAAAAAGACTAGACTTGGAGCTGGGTGTGGACAGGTATGGAGCTACATGCCTATAATCCCAGTACTAGGGAGACGGAGGCTGCAGGATCCAAAGTTTAAGACCATCTTGTCTTAAAACAAACAAATCACATGAGGACATAGATTGTAGTGGTGTGTTTTTAAGCTAAGGAATACTAAGGTCAACCTCTAGAAGGTAGAAAGAGACAAGCAAATATATTTTGTAGAACTTTGGGAGTGTGATTTTGTGAAACTGTTTATTTCAGGATTCTGGGTCTGTAATGGTGAAAAACTAAGAGCAAGTTTCTGTTGTTTAAAAAAAAAAGAATATGTTGGGCTGTGTATGGTGGTGCCTGCCTTTAATCCCAGCACTCAGAAGGTAGAGGCAGGTGGAGCTCTGTGAGTTCAAGGCCAGTCTGGTCTACACAGTGAGTTCCAGGTTATCTGGGGCTACAGGGAGACCCTGTCTCAAAAAAGACAAAAAAAAAAAAAAAAAAAAGAATATGTTGGGAAGAAAAGCAAATGTGCTGGATAGCTGTAGTGTCAACTTGACACACCTGGGTTGAGGGAGCCTCTCAATTGGGGAATTGCCTCCATTGGATGGGCCTGTGGCCATGTCTATGGGGCGACTTCTTGATTGTTGAGTGATGTGGGAAGGCCCAGCCCACTGTGAGTGGTGCCACACCTGGGCAGGTAGGCCTATGCTGTGTAAGAAAGCAGGTTGAGCAGTGGTCAGGGGAGCAAGCCAGTAAGCAGTGTTCCTCCATGGCCTGAGCTCCAGTTCCTGTCTCCTGAGTTCCTACCTTGGGCTTCCTGATGAACTGCGACCCAGAAGATATAAGCTGAACCCTTTCCTACCCAAGTTGGTATTGGTCAGAATGTTTTGTTACAGCAATGGAGAAACACTAGAACAGAAATTGGTACCAGAGAGTTGGGCACTGCTGTGACAGACCTGATGTTGAGGATTGTGGAAGTATTTGGAACTTTGGGCTGGAAAAGCCATTGAGTGCTGAGTTTGTTGCTGTGGAGTTTGGAACAGTTAGGTTGAAAGAGTTGTGGATGATGGAGGCCTGGCTTGTGAAGCTTTGAAGGGAAGCAGAGACTATCAGGGCTGTTCATGTGAGATTTTAGATTGAGGATCTGTGGGTTCTGTTTGGCTGGGGCTGAAGAATCAGCTGTGATTAAGAAGAGACCAGAAGCTGAGGTAAAACCTTTGCTTTACTGGGACAGTTGATGCTGGTTAGCTGGGGCTGAAAAATCAGCTGTAAGTAACAAGAGACCAGCATCATTGTGGTAAAGTCTTCTGGTTCCACACACATACGCTGTGGTCGAGAGAAGGCCCAAGCCTCTGTCTCTAACTAGAAGCAGGACTTGGTAATGTGTAAGAATCTCCTATATGGTTCTGATGTTGAAAGCGTGAAGGGGTCACAGAGAGCAGCTGAGGCTTGGCACTCTGAGAGGTCAGGAAAGGCCATAGGTGAAAGTACAGCTTCAGTTGCAGTGCAGACTCCAGGATTGAAGGGGTCATGGAGAGAATCTGAGGCTTTGCACCCCAAGAGGCAAGAAGAAGCCACTGGTGAAGGTGTAGCCTCAGTTTCAGTAGAGACCCCAGCTTTTTGGAGATTACGGGATCATGGGATGACCACCGAGGACAGCAGTAGGTGTGGAATGGAGCTGGCCTGGGTCTGTGAGATGAGCTGTGTGTGCTGTGGATGGCAGAGTCAGAGAAGTAGAGCTGCCAAAACCCTTTGGAGCCCAGACTATCGTGAGTGAATCCCAGATGTCTAGCCTCAAGCTACTTTGTGGACTTTGGTTTTGCTTAGGTGTACCCGATTCTTCCCTTTGAAATAAGACAGTACTTGTTTTGGATTTTACAGAAGCCCACAGTTAAGAGACTTTTAAAAGAGAGTATGGACTTTTAAGTGTTTGGATTTTTTAAAAAAATAAATAATTTATTGAGAATTTCATACATTCATATAAGGTGTTCTGATCAAATCCATGCCCACTCCCTCCCCTCCAATTCCTCCCATATCTCCCCATCACCTTTTTTCTGATAACTTCATGTACTCTTCTTTGATTTTTTTTTTAATGGGGCTTTTGACTACTCTAACCGTCCCCCCTCTGAACCCTAAAATCTTTTAAGGATTAGATATAAGCTCCCAAATACTTTCAACATTTTTGGCATTTGGAACAGAGTATGTTGTTAAGAGGCCCAAAGACATTGTGCATTTTAGCCAAGAAACTGGCTACTTTTCTTTGGGGTCTTTTTACCCTAACTGCCTAGCTAATTCTTACCTCCTGTTCTTATCACGCCATCCTGAAGAGGTTACCCAAATTGCCAATAGGGAATCTGGACGCAGACCACTCTGGCTTCTTCCATGCTGAACAGGGATGCAGGGTAAGGCAATTGGAGTACCCATTCAGTGGGTCTATCCAAAAGACTCCCAAATTGCATTACAAGTTCTCTAGGGGGAAAAGAAAGTCCTTGGTGTTTGGATTTTTTAAAGAACTGTGGGGCTTTTAATGTTGTACTGTCTTAAGTTGTGATACTAACATCATATATCAGGGACAAGAATTGGAAAGGTTATGGTTTAATAGTGATGTGTTTGTATGTCAGGTTGACAAGGGGTCAGTTGTGCTGATATCTTTAGTGTCAACTTGACACATCTGGGTTGAGGGAACCTCAATTGGGGAATTGCTTCCATTGGACTGGCCTGTGGCCATGTCTGTGGGGCATCTTCTTGATTGTTGAGTGATATGGGAGGGCCCAGCCCACTGTGGGTGGTGCCACCCCTGGACAGGTAGGCCTATGTTGTATAAGAAAGCAGGTTGAGCAGGGGCCAGAGGAGCAAGCCAATAAGCAGTGTTCCTCCATGACCTGAGCTCCAGCTCCTGCCTCCAGGTTCCTGCCTTGAGTTCCTAACTTGGGCTCCTTGCTGAACTGTGACCAAGGAGATGTAAGATGAATAACCCTTTCCTCCCCAAGTTGGTCAGAGTATTTTGTCACAACAATGGAGAAACAAACTAGGACAGCAAAGAAACTTTTTTTTTTTAAAGGGTAAGTGAGCTATCAGATACTGAATTATATTCTAAAGCTGCAGTAGTTTAAAAAATCATTTGACTTTCGAACATGACCTACATGGACATAAAGCTATTAAACTTTTTAACTTATTTTATTTAACGTGAATTTTTGTGTTTAACTACAGAAATATTAATGTGTTTGGTTCTGGGTACTGTACTATCTCTAGATGGGCAATATTGTATAACATACATGTAATATATATTATATATAATTACCTTTAAAATTTTCTGAAAATTTGAAGTCTAAAGCACATTGAATCTTGAGGTTTTAAAATTAAAAAAATTTTTATTATTTTTATTTTATGTGTATGTGTGTATTGCCTGCATGTAGGTAAGTGCACTTGTGTCATGCAGTGCCCACCGAGGTCCCCTGGAACCTGTCAGATCTCCTGGAATCTGTCAGATCCTCTGGAACCGGAGTTACAGACAGTTGTTAGCTGTCATTTGGGAGCTGGAATTCGAACCTGGGTCTTCTGCAAGAACAACCAGTGTTCTTAACTGCTGAGCCATTTCTCTAGCCCCCTGAATCTTGAGGTTTTAAGAAGTATATGGTCCTGTATGATAGACTCCATCCAATTTGAGAAATAGAATATTTTCAGCATAATTTAATAATTTCGCTTTCTTAGTTGCTTTGTTCATCTTAGAAGTAACAAGTGTTTTGATTTGTTGCAAATGTACTATTTGTCCTCACACTGTCCTGAGGTCTACTTTTTCTATGCTTCTTGGACTCCTATATTGCCAGCTTGGCAACCTGATCCACGGTGGGCTATAAAATATAACAGGTGTAGAAAAATTCAGGCCACATAGTAGTGAATTGCCTGGAATGTTCACCAACCGCTGACATCACTGGTTGATTGGTACTCGCCTAGTCTTTCTCTTACTCTTAAATACCTCCAACACTAATAGAATGAAATTATACTCTTCAAGATGCCTATTATTGTTTTGTGTCCACAACATGTCTATGTGTATATAGATATGTGTGTAAATAGATATGTATACATACATTTACGTTTTATGAATCACAAGGGTCTTCTTAGTTAATATAGTCTGTTTTCATTGTAATGTATTTAACAGTTATTGGCTAAGATTAAAATGCTTATTATCCTTTTTTACCACAATCATAGGTTAAGCGTCAATGGATATGTTTTAAACAGTGGTTTGCATGAAATCAGTTTAGCAGGCTTTGGTCAGTATTTCTAACAAAAATAGAACTTTAAACAGAATAGTACTGAAAAGTATATTAAATATTTTAAATATAAGCATTATTTCTTAAATTGTTTCAGCCCCTCCCTCCCTCCCTCCGTCCCTCCCTCCCTCTTTGTCTCTCTGTGTTTCTGTGTCTCTGTCTGTCTCTCTCTGTCTGTCTGTCTGTCTGTCTCTCTCTCTCGTCTATGTTCCCTATACTTGTGAAGTGAGTCTCAGTGTAAAAATACTTGTTTTTATAGTGGGTTTGAGGTTCAAAAAAGTGAGAAATTATGCCTTCATAAAGTGAAGAAGGCTGTTTTAAATATTTTATTTTTTATTTTTATTTCATTTTGTATGAGTGTTATATCCGCATTGCCCGCGGAGGATGGAAGAGGTTGTTGGATTTCCTGGAACTGGAGTTGTGGACAGTTGTTAGCTGTGATGTGGATGCTGGAATTCAAACCCGGGTCTTCTGCAAGAACAGTCAGTGTTCTTAACCGCTGGGCCATCTCTCCAGCTCTGAAGAAGGCTATTTTAGTAGGAACCATATGCTGAAGTAGTTGTGTTGGAGGTCTGAATTTTAGGAGATCTCCAGAGTAGTGAAAAAAAAAAAAAAACTTATCAAATGGGGGGTTGTGCAACCCATTGCAACCCGTTTTATTTCTATTCACATTGCCCGAAAGCTTTTTCTTGCCTGAAGTGGAATCCCATTTTCTAGTAACATCCATCTACTGGGATCCACTTCTAGCTCTTCAAGATACTTGAAGAGGTCATTGTTTAGGTGTAGGGTGTAGTGTCTCCAAATGAGTTTTCCTTCATCTCTGGGCTATAAAGTCCTTCATTTGTCCCTAAACACATTTACATTTAATCCTGCAGCAGCTTGTCAGAGGCCTGCAAGAAGCATGACACTGACTTCATTACCATCCTTCCTCTTGCCACCTTCCCATTGGCTCTTACTCTAGAGTAGACACTAGCAGATTCTGACTTGTAGGACAAATTCAGTTGGCCGCCAATTCTCGTAAATTAAGTTTTGTGGAGGACTGAGCTACACCTGTCCTTAGTATTTTGTTTGTGGGGCTGTGTTCCTGTTACAGTGTATGCTGAGTAGTTACTGCAGAGATTGTGTGGCCTGAAGACTCAGTATTTATTGTTTGACCCTATATAGAAACATCTCTTGTTTTAGATAAAGCTTCTATTAATGCCTTAGATCTGCATTTTGGGCAGCTAAATCACACTTTTAAATCTTACTGAGCTTACAGTCCAATAAAGGAAAAATGTTTCTCACATATGTTGCTATTAAGAAAATAATAAAGAGGTAATTTGAGTATTTCTTGCCTCTTTCTGATATTTTATAAAGGCTTTCTTTCTGGAAGAGATCAGATTTCATTTTTTCTTTGAAAGTATGGGTGCATGTGCTAATCTGCTCTGAACTGTATTATCCATGTATAGTGTGTAATTTAAGGCAATGATTTTAAAAAGTGTGTTCTGAAAAACTAGTTTCTTGATATTGAATCAGATAAATTTGGAAAAAATATATTTCTTGGGCATTTATAGTGCCCTTACTTTGCACGCATGCACAAGTGCATGTACCCATATGTGCGCATGTGTTAGTAACATCAAATTTCTTGATACTCTGAGGGACACTGTAGGAAATACTGGGTTGGAATATAGTAAAAGTATAAGTAGTAGTTACTAGTGGAAGGCTAGATAGTCTCTATTTTAGGAGTTAATATTGCTCATGTTTTGATAATGTCTGAGATGATGAAGAAATTACTGTTCTGAAAGCTTAATTTTTTATATGCGTGGAAACATCAAAGTAGGTACTAGATAAAAAAGTGTGCTTGTTCCTTTAAGTTTTTAAGCCACAAGCTTATTCACATGTTTTTGACTAATCTGATGGAGAGGTTTAACGGGAATGAAAAAGTGTAAAAGCTATTATGAATTAATGACCTGAAAACAACAATTAAATGAACATTTTGTAAAATTATGGTAGTAAATAGTGAAAATTTGACTTAATGTGAAAAGTTGAGTTCATCCCTAGCCTCTTCAGGAGCACACTGGTGAAGTGGCAAATGTCTGTGATAATGTGTTCTAGATTTTGTGCAGATGGTAAAACTCTTTGGATTGCTTTTTCTATTTTATTTGTCTCTCTTTTTCTTTTTCCTCTTTCCTCTCCAAAGTTAAAGTGTGATCTTTGGTCACTGTAGTATCTTACTGTGGAATGTTCTGTCTAAACCAAACTCTCTTTCAGTCATTCCTTTTGTAAAAGCTCATGCAAATGCCTCGTAGAAAAGTTGGTAAGAGTTAAGCTACAGGGACCCATGTGTGGTGGGATACTGACTTATCTGGAGATCTAATCCCAGTCTTTCATATTAAATTTTGAACTTTATCCAACTCTTGTCTGTTTGTTTTTCATAAGTTTAAATTGTCTTCTCTCCACAGAACCAAGTGACGGACACTAATAGAAAGCTACAGCATGAGGGGAAGGAAGTAAGGCCAACTCACTTTTCGAAAATCTCTTTTCTGTTTTTGCTGTTCATTTTGGATGACTGTTCTTCATTTTGTGGTTTGGAAGACTGTAAGCAGTATGTTAGAAGTACTTGGGTGATACTGTTGCTTCTTGTAATGTTTACCTGAATTAAGTAAACATGGAATGTAAATGCTGTCTCTCTGAGCTGTGTTTTAAAAAAAAATCGAGTAGTCATCCCCTTGTGTGGAATGTTCCTTCCCTGTATTCGCCTCCTGCAAACCTCCCCTCCTATGATTTCTTTTTCGTTTTTGTTATTTTGTTTGTTTTTGGATAGCCCCACTGCCCTAGAACTTGCCATATAGACCAGGCTGGCCTGGATCTCACAGAGATCTGCTGCATTTGCCTCTGGTCACCATGCCAAGCCTCCTCTTTTTTTTAAAAGACAGGGTCATATGTAGGCCAGGGCAGCTTTGAATTAACCCTTCTGTCTCTAACTCTCCAGTGGTTGGATTATTGTCAAGTATGACTATGTGTGGTTTATATTGACTTCTCTGTAGTTTGTGTGTGTGGGGTGGGGATAATGATGTAATTTTCTGTCTGATAATATTCCAAATGTTTTTTTTTTTTAATGAAATGTTACTATGTAGCTTAAGCTAGCCTAGAACTCACTCTGTAACCCAGTCTGGCTTTGAACCTATAGCAGTCCCCCTGTCTCAGCCTCCTAAGTCCTGGGGTTATAAGCCTGTGCCACTGTACCTGGTTTATATGTTACCTTCTTATTAAGACCTTCCTTAATGACCTCATTGGAAATTGCAGTCTAACCCTCATTCCCTTTTCCCATTTTTGTTTTTCTCCATTGTGCTATCATACTCTTGATACATTTTTACTCACACAGTTATTTTTGTCTGTCTCACTTTATTGTAAGTTAGCTATGTATAATTAGGGAGTTTTGCTTATTGTTGTATCTCTTCCGTCAGCCTAAACAGTGACTGGCATAAAGTGAATGCTCAACAAATATTGGTTTTAAAAAAGAGTTAATTGATTCTATTAACTGATAAGCTCACCATTTAAACCTTTACAATTGCAACATTATTTTGCATCCATTTACTCACTTGATCCAAAGCCAATCCCTTATGACTTGCTGAAGTTTATATAATAATTGACAAGGCTGGGGCTAGATTCCAAATTTTGTAACTTGTAGACCATCTTGTTCCTCCATTTGTGTTCATTCTTTTCATGTCTAAGAGGATAACATTTTTAGGTGTGGGTGTGGGATGAGTGCTATAAGTAGATATGTAGATTTAAAAATTTTTTTCATATAGTCTATATCTACAGTTAATATAGTTTTTGTTATATTGTGAGATGACTCAGATAGAACTCTTAAAATGGGAGCTCTGGGAAGAGCAGTGGATTAATCTTTACTCAGCTGGATTTCCTAGAAAAGCCATATCTCCTAGGTGTATGACTTGCTTATTGAAATGGGGATGTAGGTGAAGATCATAGGATGGATGGCCCTTCTGGAGCACAGTGCTCATGAAAGGAATACAGGATTTTTACAGTAACTGATTGAAGTATAAGTCATGAAAAATTGATAAGAGAGTTTGGAGAAAATGGGAAAAATGTTTTCTTTTCTCTTGGATAGCCCCTATATTTTGGGGTTTACTTATTTACATAGGTCTTCCTAGAAGAGATTGGCTTGGGGAAAAAGTAGGAAACCATGCAGGAGTGTTTTACTGTTTGAGGAAGAGTTCCTTATTCCACTTAGCACATTTTTACTATGAAGCTGGGATTTTCTGATGACTTGAACAGTGTGGAAAAAAATGTGACTGAAAGATTTTATTTGTAGCTGTTGGCATAATACAGTTTTTCTTCCCTTTGGCCAAGCTGGTAATAGCAATGGAAGAGCTGAAGCAGTGCCGAGTACAACAGAGAAACATTTCTGCCACTGTTGATAAATTAATGCTGTGTCTTCCAGGTAAGGAATTGGAAAGGGAGTAGGATTCTTATGAAATTCCTTTAGCTGAAGTTAGTCTTTTACTTTGTCTAAATAATGCTTGTGTGCTTTTTTTCTCTTTCAAGTACTAGAGATGTACAGCAAACTAAGGGACCAGATGAAGACTAAAAGGTAAGAGCTTTTACTTGAACAGTTATTTTCTAAAATTTATTTAGAGTACTTTAAAAATATTTATTTTCTTACTCATTCTTTCATTTATTCATTTTTTTCATTCATCCATTCATTGATTTGTATGTTTTGGTCTGTGTGTACCTGCATTTATGGTCATACAAACATGTGTGGGTGCCCATGGAGGCCAAAAGAGGGCATTGGTTCCCCTGGAGCTGGAGTTACAGGCTATTATGAGCCGCCTGACATGGGTGCTGGGATCCAAATTCAGGTCTTCTGGAAGCAGCAAGTTAAATTCACCACTGAGTCACCTATCTAGCACCCCCATTATTATTATTTTTTTCACGTTTTTTTATAGGATCTCGCTTTGTAGCCTTGGCTGGCCTAGAATTGACTTTTTAGACTAGGTTGGACTTGAACTAAGAGACCTGCCTGGGATCAAAGGGTAATATGGTTTATTTAAACTACTTTTAAGGCCCATATTTGGCTTCACTTTTCAAAAATAATTGAATCTATGATTTTTTTTCTTTAATCTTTTGCACACATCTATTGATTCATCCTAGATCTATTTATATACACTGGTTGTTATATATTGCATTTAATAAAAAAAATAATAGCTTAATATTTTTTGGAGTCCCAGTCTTTTGGGGGGATGTGGAGGAAGCACAGAACTGTATTAATCATAACTGGATTGGAAAATATGATTTAAATATTGTCATAGAAAAACTAGTCACTGGTTCTGGTGCTAGAGGATCTCAGTCAGGATTCATTGGAAAATAATCAACAGATATTGTGTGTGTGTGTGTCTGTGTGTCTGTGTGTATCTCTGTGTGTGTTAATCTATGTGGTTAGGGAATTTATTGTAAGAAATTGACTCACATACTTGTGGGGGTTAGCAAATCCTAAATCTCTGGTTGGTCTGGCAAGCTGGAGGCCTAAGAAAGAGTTAATATTAGAGCTTGAGTTCAAAGTCAGTTGTCTGTGGAATTCTCTTTTTGTACAATGCAGTTTGCCATTTTGTTTTAAAGTAAGGTCTTCAGCTATGATTGGAGGAGAGTTCCCTACATTTAGGGAATGGCTCTCTTTACTCATACTCTTCCCATTTAACTGCAAATCTTGTTGCCCCAATAACTGTCACACAGACATCTAGAAAAATGTCTGACCAAATGTCTAGGTACCGTGGTCTAGTCAAGTTGCCATATAGAATTAGTTGTTCCAAAGGTCAAGGTTAAAGTTTGAGGGTTCCTTTGTATGTTGTGTTTTCTTCTAGTTTTATTTGAGGGAAAACTTTGTAGTGACCCCTTGACTGTTATTCCTGGGACATCTTACTATACTAAGCAACTCCCTTTTCCCTGGGGCATCTTCCAGTATTGGGGGAGAGGAAATTTGAGGTGATAGGATGAACATAAGTACATCTTAGTGGAATACTAATTCTCTGTGGTTTTAAGGGATAAGATATACAATTAATACATTTAATATTGAAATTAAAATGTGTATACAAATTCTAAATGTTCAGTAATTTTGGAACTAAACCATAAGGCATCAAAGTTCTTTTGTGTTCTGGGATTCTCTGTCCTAGTTACTTTCTATTGAGTGATAAAACACTGACCAAAAGCAACTCGGTGAGGAAAAGGTTTATTTTCCCTTATAGCTTACAGTCCCTCATGGAGGGAAGCCAAGGTAGGAACTCAAGGCAGGAACCTGGAGGCAAGAACTGAAGCACAGACCAAGGAGGAACGCTGCTCCCTGTCTTGCTTCCCTGGCCTATGCTTTGTTTTTGTTTGCTTTCTAGTATAACGTAGGGCCACCTGCCCAGGGATGGCACTGCTCACAATGGGCTGGACCCTCCCACATCAACCAGCAATTACAAAAAATGTTTCCAGGGCTGGAGAGATGGCTCAACAGTTAAGGGCACTGGTTGCTGTTGCAGAGGACCCAGGTTCAGTTCTCAGCACCCATATGGTAGCTAACAACTATCCATAACTTCAATTCTAGGAGATTTGATACTTTCTTTTGGACTCTGCAGGCATTGCATGACATGGGTGCACTTACATACATGCAGTCAAACATGATAAAAATAGGTAAATAAAAAAATTATTTAAAAAAAAGAAAAAGAAAATGCTTCATAGACATGGCCAAGGCTAATCTGATGGGGGAAATGCCTCCATTGAGGTCACTTCTTCCTGGGTGTGTCAAGCTGACAACTGAAGCTATCTAGCACAATCTCCCAGACTTATTCCTTGCCAGGTGGATATGTTTTCATAAGAATGCATAGATAGAACACATGAAAAGTTATATTCTGTGAAGATATAAAAATAGTAGTATTTTCTGGCAATATTTTAGTAAAGTTTTAAAAATTGTGAAGAAAAAAAGACTTGTATATTAACTTCTTTGAATTAAGAAATATTAATATCTTTCCAAAGCCAGGTGTGGTAAAGCACACCTGTAATCCCAGGATTTGGGAAGAGGCAGAAGGATAAAAAAGTAAAGGCTAGCTTGAGCTACATGAAACCCTGTCTCAAAATAAGCACACAAACAAAACAAAATAAGTAAACAAAATACCCCCCATTTCTGCATTTTGAGTCATATATAATTTTATATAAACATTTGACATAAATTTTAGAAGCATATATAAAGATAGGTATATTAGTTACTTTTCTGTTGTTGTGATAAAATTTCATGGTCAAGGCAAGGAAGAGTTTATAGAAGAAAGAATTTATTTGAGTTTATGGTTCCAGGGGTCAGAGTCCATAATGGCGGCAAAGGTGACTGGAGCAGAAAGCCTATCGATCACAGCTTGAAGCAGGCACAGGAAGCAGAGACAGGAAATCTGGCAAGGCTTAAGAACTCTCTAAGCCTTCCCCCTAGTGACATGCTTCCTTCAGCATCACTGCACATTCTAAGACCTCCCAAACAGCACCACTAACTGGGGACAGAAAAGAAGCCTATGGGGAACATTCTCATTCAAACCACCACATTCCACTCTCTGGCCTCATAGATTCATGGCCATATAAAATGCAAAATTTATTTAATCTGCTTTAAAAGTACCCACAGTCTCTACCCGTCTCAATATTATTCAAAAGTCCAGAGTTCAAAGTCTCTTCTGAGACTGAAGGGAATCTTTTATCAGTAAGCCCCTGTAAAATCAAAAGATAACCTACATACTTCCAAAATACAATGGAACCAAATACACATTCCCATTCCAAAAGAGAAGAATGGGGGCATACTGAGGAAATACTGGACCAAAACACCAGCAGGCAAAACACCAAATCCAGTAGCTCCATTTCCAACTTCTGAGACTTTACTTCTAAAGGACTCAGATGGATCAGCCCCTCCAGCTTAGCTGCATACAACTTAGAGCTCACTCTTGGGCTGCCACCACTCCTTGTATGCAGTTTTCCTTGGCAGATGTCTCATGGCTCTGGCATCTTGAGTATACTGGGTCTCTACTGCTAACCAGGTTTCACAAACTTCACAGCTTCACACAGTGGCCTTTCAGGGCTTTCTTTATGCAGGGATGCCCCTGCTGTATGCTGCCTGGCCTCAGCTGCTCTCTGAAACCTAGGAGAGAGAATCAATGACCCCCTTCACTCTTATGTCTTTTATGCCTCTAAAGCAAGAACCATGGGCGTGACACCTTCAAGTTTGGCTTCCAGTTTGGGAGTGAACCTAACCCACTTCATCCACATTACCAGCAGTTATTTGTGGGTTGCAGTTTTCTAGAAGAAAACTCTTCAGGATTTTTCCTTTCACAAGGAAGCTTAGCTGGGTGGGATCGTACCCTGGGGATACTCCTTCTATTGTTGTAGTACAAATCTAGAGGCCTCTCTTGAGGACTCTTAATCTCTTTATCAGAGAGTATCTTCTTCAGCATATGCCTTGACTCCAACATTAATCTTCCTAGTGCTCTTTTTCAATCCAAACTGTACATCTTGTATTTCTTTCTGCTTCACTTGTTTTTTTTTTTAACTGTAGATCTGTATAATATTCATCATTAATTGTCATGCCACCATTTCTATGTTAGGCTGTCTTGAAATTTCTTCTGCCGGAGAAATTAGTCATCTTAGCCTCACAGACAACTTAGCCTCAGGCAGGCTCTTAGGCTATGGGTAGATTCCACCCAGACTCTTTGCCAAAATATCTTAGTTGCTTTTTAAGTTCTTACTTCCCTCTGGAACTACTTTGCTGTTAATACTACTTTCTTTCAGGCTCCTACTAGAATGGCTCTGCTTACGGCATTCCACTGCTTTTCTAGTCCAAACTTAAAATTCCTTCAAAAACCCACATGGTCAAGTTCTTCACAACAGGCTGGCAGGGAACAGGGTGGGGATGGGTGAGAGGAATGGAATACAGACGAACTAGGTGGGATTTAACTTACCAGAGTCCTGGCCGGGCAGGTCTGTCTGGCTGATCCAGAGCCAGGGAAGATGGTGGTGCGGGAACCACTGGGGGGGACCGCCTGAGTAGGTGTTTAGCTAGTCTATGTTAGGAAGCTAGACCAGGGATCTGAGGGGGAGGAATTGGTCCAAGGCTGGCTGGGGACAGCGTGGCAATGGGCAAGAGCAGCCTCATCATTTTTGAAGAGTATAGCATGTTATTTTCGAGGATTTTTTTGTTTGTATTTTTCCTTTTTCAAGACGAGGGTTTTATGCTGGCCTTCAACTTGTGATCCTTCTGCTTCAGCCTCCTGAGTGGAGTCCTGAGAGATTTCAGATGTGTGCTACCATGCCTGGCTTAATTCTACTATTTTAAACTTAAAAAAAAATTA